ATGGCTAGTGCTTTCACTAATCCCGCCTGGGTCTCAGAACCTACAAAAATGCCCTCAACGACAGAATTTGGGGAGACCCTGGCTGCCACATGCACCCACCACAGCCAAGTTTTGGCAGGATGGGGAGGTGCTTAGGTCTATGGGGATAGAAGTTGCTGTGCTTGGGACCTTTCAGACCTCAGCCTGTGTGTCTGTCCCTTCATCTGCATCCTTTATCACATCTTTTCCAACATATTAGCTCGGTGTGGTGGCACACGCCTGTAATCCCAGCATGCTGGAGGCTGAGGCAGGAGGACCATTGTATGTTTGAGACCAGCCTGGGCTACAAAGTGAGCTCAAGGCCAGCCTGAACTGCATAGTGAGATTCTGTCTCAAAAAGACAAAAGCAAAAACAAAAATGAAAACCCAACATATTATCAGCGATTCTAATAAAACTTCTTGGGCATGGTGACACACGTATCTATAAATCCCAGCACTCAGGATTGTGAGGCACGAGGATCCTCATGAGCTCAAGGTCAGCCTAGGGCTACATAGTGAGCTCAAGGTTAGCCTGAACTATGAAGTGACACCCTGTCTCAAAAACAAACAATAAAACAAACACAGGAAAGTGCTTCCCTGAGTTCTGTGAGTCATCACAGCAAATACTGAACCTGATGTTTTGTGGGTTTGTGGGAATCACCAACTGCAGGCAAGCCAGCCAGAATGGGCCCCTGGGGACTCATATGAAATTGGGGGCAGGTTGTGGGATTTAGCCTTTAACCAGTGGGGTCTGAGCTAACTCTGGGTTCCTAGAGTTAAACTAAATTAACTGTAAGACACCCCTTGTGGTCCACAGAGACTGCCTGGTGTGGGAAGCCCCAATTTAGTGTCAGGAGTATTGAGTGAGAAACAGTTTTCCTTTAACTATCACTTTCCAAAGTGTCCCTACAACTGATTGCTTACACACACACACACACACACACACACATGCATACATGCTTTTTTCCAATTTAGCTTAATCAGCATATCTAATGTCAAATGTCGCCACACACACCCACGATGAGCTCATTTTCTGGGTGCTGGGAACACGGGAATATCTGGCACCGAAAGTGAAGGCAGTCTGCAGACAACTGCATGGCAGAAGGCGGAGGGGGCACGGACAGTAGGCATCTGCGAATATTCACACGTCAGAAACACTCTTCCGGCTGGAGGCAGTGCGGAAAGACAAACTCCAGTCCTCACATCAGACACCCTGCCCCAACCCCCTGGCAGGCAGCAGTACCCATTTTACACCCGATAAACTAAGGTGGAGAAAGACCTGTGTCCCCAGGGTCATGAAATTTGTGGGAAGCTCCGAAATTACTCTGCTTGGCTCCAAACCCATGAGATCTCCACACCATCAACAAATGTCAAGTTACGCTCTGCGGTGCAGCGGTATGGGGTGAGGTTCAGCGGGAGCCTGAATGGGTAGGGATTGAGCCTCTGCCCCAATTTTATCCACAACAGCTACACTTTCCATACATATGAAGGTGTGATCAAATAAAAAAATGGATATTTACATTAAAAATTATTATAGTAAAAGATACATAGCCACTAATTCCCCTCAAAGCCCTCTCCTCGCTTTGAGCACACCTATCCCACCATTCTTTCGGAAGCTGTTCTGGAAGTCCTCCTTCTTGGGTGTCTTTTATTGTCCTGTCCTGGCTGCCTTGATGCCTGAATCAACACATCCATCTGTCACGGTCATTCGAGTTCGGGGAAGACCCAGAAGTTGTGCAGTGCCCAATCTGGTGGATAAGGTAGGAGGGACACACTGTAATTTTGGGGGGCAGCAATTGCCAAAAAATGTTTGATCAGTTACGGGGATCAAAAGTAAAATGCAGCGAATGTCTAAATTAAGGTCATTACAATAAAAGCCACATGGCCATTATTTCCCCTCAAATACCATCTCCTGGCTTTGAACTTAGCTCACTGTTCTCGGCAAAGCGTCTTTTACTGTAGTAAAGTTTTTAAAATGTAAGCATTCACCCTCCATGCTGACCACTCCTTGTATTTACAGATGGGGTTCCCTGCAGGGAGGTAGGGATGGTGTCGCAGCAGCAAAGCCCTCTGTCTCGGAGCTGCCTGTGTTGAAAATCAGATTACTGGGGCTGGGGATTTAGCTCAGTGGCAAAAGCGCCTGCCTTGCAAGCGTGTGGTCGTGAGTTCGATCCCTGGTACCAGTAAAAATACAAAAAAAAAAAAAAAAGAAAGAAAGAAAATCAGATTACCCCTGCCGGCTTAGGGACCTTAGAACAAAGGCTTCCTAAGTCTCAGCTTCTTCGGCTTCAAAAGGGACATAATATGGATCCCCACTTGATAGGGAGGAGGTCAGAGGATGGCACGCTCAAGAGGTAGAGGCCCTTCCCCCCACCTGACACTTGTCACAACAGTGCTCTCGTTAACTTGGTGGGACTCCCAAGCCTCACCATCATTCAAGGTAAAAACAGCAAAACACAAACACTCCTGAATGCCTGTGCCTCCCCCAGGTTCCCAGGCTGAAGCCCAAACTCCCCATGTGACAGAGCGGGGTTGGGGAGGTAACTGTGTCATCAGGGTAGCGCCCTCATGGAGAGACTGCTGCTCTGAGAAGAGGTCCCAGAATGCTGTCGTGCCCTCTTTTTCCCCATGGGGACACAGTCGGGAGCTGGCCATCTGTGATCAGGGACAGAGCCCCTGCAAGCTCCCCTCCACTCCACTGGCACCCTGATCTCGGACTTGCAGCCCCGGGAACTGTGAGAGGCACACGGTGCTGTTCCTAAGCATCCCAACCTGTGGTATTCTGGTACAGCTCCTAGAACTAAGACACTCGCAAAACTGCTGGAGGGTTCTCAGAGCGACCACCGAACACTCCCTTGGAAGAGCTGCCCTGGTTCACAGCTCTATCTCCCAGCCCCGCTAAACTGGGTTTCTTATTATCAGAACGCACACCTGCAGGGGGAGAGGGTGAGAGGGGCTTTGGCGTCCCCTGGCTGAGCCATGGCCGTGGCCCCATTGCTGCTTATCACTGGCTCAGCATAAAGTGTGGAGCAGAGCGGCTTTCAGTGATGAGGTCAGTAACCCCAAAGCCCCAAACTAATTTGCTTCCACTGCTCAGAGCAGGTGGCCACGATGCTACTGGCTCTCCACTAAGCTGCGACTTGGCACCTGAACCAAAAGCACTGGGCAGAAGGAAGTGCTTGCATCAGTCACACCAGCAGCTCCTCTATAGGGCCACGCTCTGAAGGGCAGTGGGGTCTTGGGTCCCTTTCAGGGTCCCTCCATCAAGACTCTGCCAGGGAACCAGGTTCCCAGGGAAGGTATGCACGGTTTACATATAACACGAGCCACATGTGAGCTGGGATTTTCACTTGCTTTGTTCCTGCTGGACCCAGGACCTAGGACAGCAGCATGGCCTTAGGGATATGGGAGGATCATGGCTTCTGGTGAGGGTAATAGAGGTCCTGCACTGTCACAGAACATGCACAGTAGCCAGGTCTGGTGCTCCCACAGCCCCTCCCCAAGTGAATGTCTCTTCTTGACACTGCTCTGCTCTGGATTCCCCACTTGTCACCTCAGCTGGTGGCACCACCCTGGGGCCTCTGACAGTTTCCCTTTCAAGAGGTTTGACCTTTTCTTTCTCCCATGCAGAAGAGAGTCCATTTGTTTCCAACCAATGACTGAGGAGGTCAGCTCACACCCAGGCCACGGCTCACTCCTTTCCTGCTCACACTTCCAGGAAAGGAAACGTTAGCACCAATGCGCCAGCAGAAGTCACCTCCTCGGGGAAAGGGACAGCCATTAACCAAGCAGCCCAAAGACACAGAGCTGGACTCCACCTCTTACCACCACTTTCTAGGTCCTAACTGGCAAGAAATAACTCTGAATAACTCACAGAAGCGCCCATAAAAGCACCCAGCTTTTCTTTCTACACATCACAAACCCAAACAGACCTACAGTATTTCCTCAGAGGTATGTACACACAACACACACATAAACACATATTCACAAATGCAATTAGTACATAAGCGAACTGTTTTGTAGGCCCAAACACATTTACTTCTTTCGTTTTATGCCTATTTATTACAACATAACAAATAGGTGTGCGTGGGAAAGTTAGAAATACAGTATGAGGAGAAATGCATGGAATTTGCAAAAACACATTCAACATTATAGTTACTTTTTTTTTTTTTTGATACAGTACTGAATGTGCTCTGGACCTTTAACAGTGAACCAGAACATTCAGGTTTTATTTATCCAAAGGGGTTGAATTGAGATGACTGGGAAACATTGTCCTGGACTTCCAGTACATGACAGTGTTGGAAATTGTCTGGCCCAACTCCCTGTCCAAGAGGGGGGGACTTCCGCCCAGGGCAGCGAAGTGATTTCCTGTCTAGATCAGGGCGCTGCTGATTTGTCCCAGAGGGGAGCAGTCACATGGACTTATCTGCTCTTATGTCCACAGCAGCAACCCTGGGTGGAGTCCAGGGATTGCTGGACTGAAGGAATGATCACAGTGAGGATGCTCAAATACAGAGAAGGGTGAATTCCCAAACACACCTGGATATTTTTAATTGTCATTTTGCTTTAAAAACGGAATTCTCAAAAAGGGCATGTGGAACCTGAGCTTCTGCCTGCTTGCTATTTCCTGGCGGTGCCAATGAATGACCTACATGCTGGGCCTCCAAATCTGGTAGAGAATTCAGGCTGCAGGAGCAGTTTCTCGCCTCCCCTTGGCTCCTGCAAGAGGCCAGGCCGGGCCCATCTACCTCCAACAGAAGTGGCAGGCTCTTTCTCACTCGTGACAGGACCAGCACTTCCGCAGGACTGCAGCTCCTAACACAGTCACCCTGCGAGCAGAGGCAGCGGCACCAGGAAGAATCCGCAGCAGCCCTGGGCTAAGGCAGACTCAGGGCTACCCTGCTTGGGGTCTCTGGGGGACAGGCGACTGTCCCCCGAGTGGTGGCTGCCAATGCAACTGCCGAATGTAGGAGTCCACTTACCGCAGTGCGACTGGAAAACCTGTGGCTTGACGACCTGATTACAGGCACTGCACACTACGAGATAGAAGTCGTCATGTGCTGGGGAATGGCCAAATAAGTGCATATCTGTGGGGAGATGAAAACAGGGTTTTTTGAAAAAGCAATTAAGTCTCAGAAGGTGTACAGTTTCCTCTTGGAATTTCCTCAAGGACAGTTTTTCAAACGAGACACGCAGAAAGGCAATCATCTTTGCTAACGGGAAGGCAGCTTCCCCAGCTCTCAAAGAAGCAACTACCTCAAAGAATCCCTCCTTCTTTCACCCTAGAAATGGACAGGGTGCAGGCTGATGGGGTCCGTGGTGTTGGGGTACCTTTAGTCACATGCTATGGGAATGGTCCTGTCCGGGGATGGAAATGGTAAAGGGCTCCCACAAACCTATGCCTCGTGCCAGCGGCCCTTCAGGTGAGTGAGAGGACAGGGCTGGGGCTCGAAAGGGGAGTCAGCTCGGCCTCACAGTTGCCTGAGAGTCCTTGTCACAAGGGAGATGCTGTCACCGTTACCCATCATACCCTGGTAAATACTGAGTGCGCAGGAAACCGGGCCCTTGTGGGGCACCTGGAAAAACTGGGGGAACCACAACAAGGCCTCTGCTCTCCTGGAGCCTAAGATGGCAGGAGCAGAAACACAGAATGTGCGGTCACAGCGGCCGTCCTTGGTGGTAATGTGGTGGGGAGCCTGGGAACAGGGACCGGCCTCCTCTGAGTGTCAGAGAACGAGGAGGGATGCATCCGCTGAGACCTCAGGAGGAGGAGGGTGCAGAAACTTCCAAGTGGAAGCCATGGAAGGACTGCGGGGGTGGGGAAGGTCTGGAAGCTGGAGCTGTGTAGACCAAGGTGAGGATTTTGAACTGGATTTTCAGAACAAGGGAGGCTACTGAGGATTTTAAAGCAAAGAAGTTAGTGACACATGGGATCAGAGAGACACTGGCCAAAGGTTATATGGCATCCTCCTAAGAGACACCCATGCTGATGTCTCATACGAACCCTGTGGAGCATCGCTCCTGATGGCTAAGTGGAAATGATCCAAGTGCCCAGCCATCGATAATGGAAACACAAAACTTGTCATGGCCAACAGACAGAATCCTGTTCCTCATCCATGAAAGAGACAAAGTACTGATACTGGCTACCACATGGATGGGCCCTGAAAACAGGACGCTGAGTGCAAGGAGCTGGACACAAAAGGCCCTGTACCACCTGCTTCCGCTTACGTGCTATGTCCAGAATGACCACATTCATGCTGACCGACAGGGCTGTGGGGGCCTGGAGGGACCAGCTACCACCAAACTGCACACTGTCAAGGAGGGAACTGAACGGGAGCTAAATTATATCTCATAAAACTGTCACCCACAAAAAAGGTTGGTTCTGAAGGAACCCTCATCAGACTCCTGGGCCTGCTCTGTGACGGCAGCACCGGACAGCTCCTCCTGCTTCTCCTCGCTGTCTGCCCAAGCCAGTGACCTGGGCTCTGAGCACCGGGTTGGAGGAAGAACTGACAACACTGGATGCACGAAGGCACCTCTGTCAGAACCTCCCGAACTTGCTCATTTGAAAGAGGAAATGCCAGATCCAACCTCGGTCTCTGAGGGAAACCCCAAACAAATGATGGTTCCCTCAACTGGCAGTCTAAGCCAGAAGGAAGAGGCGAGCTCCTGGAGGTGAGGGAAAAGCTTGTTAGTTACTCAACAAAGGTCTAGATGAAGACCCCAGGAGTCTGTGTGCTTTCTTCAGGGTGGACCAGCATACTTTACCACATGGAGAGGGGCAGAGACCCTCCCTTGGCTTGGGGAGGCAGTGACGGAGCGGGTGGCCCTGGCCCTGGCCAGGGACTCCCAGAGAGGTGTCCCTGTCAGGTTTCAGGAGTGGAGGGCAGGGCAAGGACGGAGACACAGGCCCAGCTGAATTGCTAACTGCTGGGTTGCTGGTGGGTGTGGTCTGCTTTTACCCCGCTGGAGAACTTGCCTCTTCCCACTCCTGCCTACACCTCCCATCTGCCTGAGGGTGACTGAGGGGACACTGTTAGTTGGTGCCTGGAGGTGGGGAGGCCCATGGCAGAGAGGTGAGAGAGCACGAAGATCGGGGAGGCCAGCTTTGGGACTTCTCAAGCCATGCAGAGCCTCACAGTAGGGACCGGTTGCCTTGGAGTGTGTGTGGTACCCAGGCTTGAACCCAAGGCCTGTGCATGCCAGACAAACATCCTACCACTGAGCTACATTCTTAGTCTCCCGTCTTTTGGAGATAGGCGCTTGTGTCTAAGTGGGCCTCAAGCTTTCCATCTTTCTGCCTCTGCCTCTTGAGTAGCTGGGAGGACAGGCATGACACCCTGCCCAGCCAACATATCGCCCTCCGAGCCTTCAACGCTGATATCACCTTGCTTCACTTTTATTTGCAGGCTTATTCTTATAGTACATATTCATTTTTTAAAAAAATAGAAATGATCCGCACTTGTAGAAGACTTTTGAAAAAATACAGGAAAGCCATAAGAAGTAAAGCAATAAGAAGCAAAAATTACTGGCAACCTATGTTAATATATAAGATTGGAAGTTTCATTTTTTACTCAGGAATATGCAAAACTAGGAGCTGTTGAGGGCTAAGGCTTATTTTTATTCATCCAATAAGAGTATATTGAGCTGCCTTTTATCCCTTCTGCAAGTCATGGTATGAAGGAGTAAAAGAAATGTAATAATTAAAAAAAATTTTAAAATCCATTTAAAAATTTAAAAATGTAATAATTAAAAAAAATTAAAAAAAAAAAACAAGCATCATTGAAATCCACCAGCTCTTGAGCCAGGCACTGAGCCACGTCCCTGCACGTCCACTGTACCCCCTAGAGCAGCTGTGGGGGACACCGCGGCAGCCCCTCCCTACACACACACTGCTGTGTCACCGCAGTGCAGGTAAGGGCGGGACTGGTCTGCAGCCACCCATGCGCCTTCACTTGCTGGGACTGTTGGTTTCCCGCCAGGGCAGTTTCCTCGGTGCACCTGCCTGCTCAGAGCTGTCTCCCCTGGAAAGAGAGAGGCCCTGCCTGTCCCCTTGCATAGAGCAGACCTTCTCAGCACCTCTACAGTGTGAGGGGTCAGGAGTCTGGCAGGTGGCGAGCAAGGTGAGCGCGCCCGGCTCCTGGATGACCCCACTTCACATGGCTGCCCACTTAAGGTCGGCATGCAGTTTGCATAAATTAATAAGGGCTCAAGATGCAGGAGAGACAACGGGAGAGACGAAGGCTAATACGCCAGCACCATGCTAGGTGCTCTGCTAATTAATATTCTCTCTCTCCTCTAAGTAAAATATTCAGTATGCAGTTACAAACCAGAACAGCAGGCTCGCACCAGCGTGGGGGAGCCAGCCACGCACGTCCTCCCCTGGAAATTCAGTGATTGGTCACGGTGGCAGCACTCACACCACAGAGATGGAGAAATGCTACCAACAAGGGCTTTGCTTTTGGAGAGCTGGTGGCTAAACATTTACCAGTGTAGCACTGAACCCAGACGGGCAAAAAAAAAAAAAAAAAGAAGCCACAAGCCAGTGATGCCACAGCAGGTGCAGCCACCCTCCAGGGTCTGTGACGTGGTAACATCAGCTTCTGCTTCGTAACTGACCTGTGGAGCCTGCATCTTTGCTTTCCCTGCACGGGAACAAAGGTAAAGCAATTTGCTAGCAATCTGATGGTGGAGATTTACAGAGCAGGCAGGATGAGGTGTTTCTTTAATCCTAAAGCAGGACCTCACTCACAGAGGGGACATCACTGTGGTTCAAATCCGGCGTGTCCCCTTGGAAACAACACTGACACTGTGTTGGGAGGTGGGGGACAGTTTAAGAGGTGATCAGAGCTGGGGGGGTGGTATACACCTGTGTTTTCAAGCACCTGGGAGGCTGAGGCAGGAGGACGGCACATTTGAGCCTGGCCCAGGCAACTCAGAGTGACCCTGTCTCAAAAGAAAAAATAAAGGGGGAGCGAGGGATACAACTCAGTGTAAAGACCCTGGGGTAAACCTTTAGTACAATCAAACCCAACCCAACCCAACCCAACCAAACCAAAAAGGTGTTTAGGTTTTAAGTGATGAATGCTTTTCTCATGGGAGAAAGCAAGACCGGGTAACATTATAAAGTGAGTTTGTCCTTCGTGTTTTCCATGCATAACTGCTTGTCCTGCTTTTCCACGGTGGTTCTGTTTGTTTGTCTTGATGTTTTTCAGACAAGGTCTTGCTCTGTATTCCAGGCTGGCTTTGAACTCACCACAAGGCCTTGAATTCGAGGCTGCCCTCCTGCTCCAGTCGTCCAAGTGCTGGGATTACAGGTGTGTACCTGGCTTCCACCGTGTTATGATGTAACACAAGGCCCTTGGCAGATGCTGCTGCCTGGTCTTGGATTTCCAGCCTTCAGAACAGTAAGCCAAAACAAACTTTTTGCTTTATAAATCACCCAGCCTCAAGCAGCCTCTTAGAGCAACAGAAAATGGACTGTCAGGGGACTTATAGTTGTCTTAAGGTTCTTGAGCTTAATGGGTGAGTAGCGCGGACACTGTGGATACTCTGGGGCCAATTCACATTCTGGACAAGGCGTAACAAGGTTTCATCCTGCTACTTAGAATGGCACATGACTGAAAACTTATGAATTGTTTATTTCCAGAATTTTCCATTTCCTATCTTTGGACTGCAGATAACTGAAACTATGGATGGGGCTGGGCACCTACTGTGTTTGTGGCATAGAAATCAGCAGCCCCTGCCAAGCAGGACTTCTTTCCTGGGAGAGTTGGTTGTTACAATGCTAACCAGGCCCTGGCTGGCCAGGACCTCCCTCCCTCCACCCCCGCCACCTTCTACCCTGGCTCAGCTTCACCGGCTACAAAACTGAACACACACAGTCATCCCATGAGCTGGGCTGTGGACAGGCTTCTGTGAACTTGGGAGGAAATCACTGCACGAAGATAAAATTACTGCTATTAACCCAAGAACTCAGGCACAGTAGAACCAGGTAGTTGAGCATGCAGAGCTATATGAAGTCCACGGGGCAGAGTGTGTGTGTGTGTGTGTGTGTGTGTGTGTGGCCATCAGTGTATCACCCATG